AGTATTTGGTCTGCATGATCGGTAAGGGCCCCAGCACTCATGCTCTGATGGATGCTTCCGCGGCCAGGCCGTGTGGAGTCTGGCTGTTATCCAGGATTGCAGATGAAACAAAAATATCCTTCAAAACTCGGTTTGGTTGAGACTTACCACAGGCTTTGGTTTGGAACTTTCCAGTAATGCCCAAAATAACTTGACCTGCAACACAGTGGCTGACCACTGCCATCACTAGCTCCTGGGAGAACTGTCTGGAAGCAGGCTGAGGCTCCCTGGGCTGACCACCCAGAAGGGTGAGTGAGTGGAGAACACAGTAACTAAATGAACATGGAGGTGGCAGACAAGGAGAGAGTGGGCAGGGGAAGGGGCTGGTCAGGGTGTGCTGAGCCTTGAGAAAACTGGCTTTAGTAATCAGGCACACACATCCTCTTTCTGGGAGACTTCACCACCACCTGCAAACTATGCTTGCCAAAAAAATTAAATGGGAATCTGTTCAAGTCTCTACAGTTATCTACCATTTCACAGGAAACATGGACAACAATAGAAGAAGTTAAATGACAGCCCAGGTATGCAATCATTTTCATACTGACTACAGGAAACTCTAGGGGACAACCTGGGCCCTTCAGCAAATACAGGGTGGGGCAAAAGTAGGTTTACAGCCGTGAGTATGGGAAACATAGTTTATTCCTCAATTATTATTAATTATTGGATTATCTTCCACACACACAACTGTAAACCTACTTTTGCCCCACCCTGTATGTTGCATTAACTTTTTTTACAGAAAAATAATTGAGGGAAAACCTACTGATTAAAATGCATTGACCTTATTTGAATCCTGATTTAAACAAACTGAAAGAGGGAGAGAGAATAGAAATATTTATTGTTTTCAATGGTTCGAAGCCATTGAATTTCAAAGTAACATATTACTCAGCAGTACTACCAATACAGAAATCCACAATGAAAAATAGGACTGGAGTGTGAGACTTAACAAAAAGAGGAGTCGCTCTGAGTTCCAACAGACTCTGATCCAATCTTTGGAATCCACCACTTGCTAAACCAGGGAGAGTCATTTAGACTCTTTCTCTGAAAAGCTGAGGCCTTTCAATTTGTAAAATAGAGATAAAAATGACCAATGCCCAGGGTTATCATAAGAAATTAAAGACGGACACCATGCATAAGTGCTTAGCACACTGCCTTGCACAAAATAAAAGAGAAAGTTCATGAGATGCTGTGATTTTGCATAATCATTTAGCATTTTTCATTCTGAAATGGCTCCCTCCCACCTCCAAATGGAGAAAAAGAAGAATATATCCCAGAATAGGCGAATCTGCATCTCCTCCTGTAGAAGGCAGGTGGAGGGGGCTCCGGGGTACAGTGAGCCCAGTCTTCCACCACGTTTCCACTTCTCACCGGTTTCTACCTTTTTCGGTCTCAGTCTACGCAAGATGCTGCGTATCCCAGTGTGGGAAACACACTCGAACTGGAGCATGAAGCCAGGGGATACACACAGGAGAAAGGAGCCTGAAACACTCCCAGTGTGCTCACACATAGGCCTTCAAACAATATCAAATGGGGGCATCCTCATGGAATTTAAATGTAAAGGTTTTTCCTCTCCTTGGTCCACCAGCACACAAAAAGAGGCTGGCTCTGAACTGGCAGCCTTTGCTTTCATTTGTCATTATGTTTTACACACATGGAAATTTTAATGTCTAAAGATGGGAGGTGATTATAGGAATAGAGCTACACATGTTTTTTTGGCAGCCCAGTCACCAGCACTTAAATTCATTTCTGACAGTTCTCAGAATCTAAAGACCTGTACGTACTAAACTGTCATCTGTCTATCCTGGAGAGATTTCACTTTGGCAGGATTTCAAAAGTTGAAATCATTCGCTTTTTTTTGTGCATATTTATGCCACCACAATATTTCTCAAAAACATGCAAAACACTGTACTCTCGAGAGACATCTAAAAAGAGGTTTGTGGTACAGGGTTTGCCGAGAGGAAAATCACCCTTGTTTCTGAACCTAGAAGTACACAAACTCAGAGTCATTTGCTAAAATCTAAGATCAGGGTAAAATGGGTGATCGCTTCTTCCAAGAAGTTGGGGCTTGGTGATTACAAAAGGCAGTTGCATTTGATGATTTTTGAACTACTTAATGGTTAAAAACTAATGGTCCTGTTAAGACTTGGAAGATGGTGCTATTATGTAACAGTTGGCTCCCTCCAGCAGCACAGCTCACTTCCAATGCGGTCTGACACGGAATGGGAGGAAGTGCAAGGAGGCAGTGCAGCTAAGCTCCAGCTCGAGCAGCATGTGTCAGCGAGGGGGCAAAAGAGGCAGAACTCGATGAAAATCCTACATCTGCTACCAACCTGCCAAGTGACCCTGTGAAAGTCACTCACTTTCTCTGATCTCTGCTTCCATCCCATGTAAAAGGAAAGACAGTTCAGCATGGCGGTGAAGCCCGGCCCTGGAGTGAGGAGCCACGTGGATGGGAGCCCCTACCATTTGGTCGCCCATCCTGCATCTGTATAACAGAGATACTAAGTGTCACCTACCGCAAAGGGTTGCTTTGAGAATTAAATCAGAGAATGCATGCAAAGGGTTCTTAAGTGTGAGGCCCATGATACCCACTCAAGGAATGAGCTGCTCTAGCTGCTACTGTGGTTACTGTTGTTATTATTATTCCCTTTCAAACAACCACAAAAGCATTAGTTGGAGGAGTGAGCCATTCGCAAGAAAACAGTGCTTCCTGACAATGGAGATGACGGCTCGCTTCAGGATAACTGGGCTTCGAGGGTCACCCCTCTCTTCCCAAAGCCTGGAAAAGTGCCTGGGGCTTTGGAGACCCCCACTGCATGTGTGTTAAGTGAATGATCATGTGGATAAATGAATGATAAAGGTGTAAGGGAGCAGATGTCTTTTTTTTAAATTTATCTTTATTGTTGAAAGTTGATGCCCCCCCCTTTTTTCCCATTGATCCCCTCCACCCCGCATCCATCCCACCCTCAAGCCTTCTCCACACTATTGTCTGTGTCCATGGGTTACGCATTTATGCATATATGTTCTTTGATTAATCTCTCCCCACCTGCTCCCCCACCCCCGCCTTCCCTCTGAGATCCCTCAGTCTGTTCATGCTTCTGTGTCTCTGGATCTATTTTGTTCATCAGTTTACTTTGTTCATTATATTCCATACATGAGTGAGATCATGTGATACTTGTACTTCTCTGCCTGGCTTATTTCACTTACCATAACACTCTCCAGGTCCATCCATACTGTCCCAAAGGGTACGAGATCCTTCTTCTTTACAGCTGCATAGTATTCCATGGTGTGAATGTCCAACAGCTTTTTTATCCACTCACCTACTGATGAGCACTTGGGCTGTTTCCAGATCTTAGCTATTGTAAATAGTGAGCAGATGTCTTAAAAGTTACTGCTGCATCCTGACTTGAGGCTCTCTGAGAGCTCTGGCCAGTGCCGGCAGCTAACATTGCCAAACACTGCAGGGAGCACACACAGTAGGGCTCACTCAGGCCTGTGGGCAAGCTGGGGATGTTATCCAAGTATTCCTATGGTTGCACAGCCTGCACTTAAGGGGACAGTGCAATTCTCACTGAGGGCTCTAACTCAGTACTTCAACCTCAAGGACTCAGGCCACTCGCTCCTGAAAGGGCTTTAGAGAGACTTCTTAACAGTCTAAAACTGCTGAGTGAGAACTTAAGGGAGACTCAAGAAAAACTGGATACTGAGCAGCCCTATGATCTCCATAGTACCATATGAATATTTGGTTTAAGACACCTCCCCTACATCCATCATCTGTTTGATGATCCTAACAGAGTCGAACCCAAAGACAGCTTGTCAAGTATCAGTGTTCTCCAAATTCAGCCACATGGGTGCCACTTGTGGAACTATCTTATCCTTGGCACCAACTGTACTATTATTAACTTAATCCTCATGTTTAATACAACCCACTGGAAAACAAATTAAATGAAGTTACTTTTTAATGAAATTTAAACCACTGTGTTAAATAAGAAGCCAGCATTGCCTGCCCTAAGAAATATGAGAGAACTGTAAAAATAAACACTTGGAAACAAAATATCACAATTAAAATGGAGCTAACCACCACTGCTTGCCTCAGCCTTGGGTTTGAGGCCTGCTCTCTCTCTGTTAGAAAGAGAGGTTAACACGTGATGGTCTAAAAATTTGCCAGCCCCGAGCGGAGGCTTCCTCTTCCGGGCATGTTGAAAGACAGAAAACAACGAAGAAAGGAGCCCTCGTCAGTTTTGCTAAGTGGTTAGAGCATCAGCCCGTGGACTGAAAGGTCCCGGGTTCGATTCCGGCTGAGGGCATATTGCAGGCTCAATCCCCAACCCTCGGGGTGCATGCGGGAGGCAACCAATTGATGTGTCTCTCTCACATCGATGTTTCTCTCTCTCTCTCCCTCTCTCCAACTATCTCTGAAAAAACAATGGGAAAATATCCTTGCGTGAGGATTACAAAAAGAAAGAATGAAGAGCGGAGTATGTTTTTCACGATGAGAGTCCATGTTTTTGGAGCTACGTTCACACACCACGTAAAACCATCCCTGGTTTGCAAAACAGTAGAACCTTCTTCTCAGGCTCAGATTCCCAGCCCCCTTGCCGTACTGGGTAGCTGCAGTTTCTTCCCGAATGCAATTAAAATGTACTTTCCCTCGACTCCCAGACTGCGAAAAATGTCTATAATCAGGATGCATCTTACAATCATCTGGCTTTTATTAGCCACTTTTAATAGTGCTTTAATCGTGTCCTTTCTTTTTATCTGGGAAGCTGTTAATAGATGGATGACGCATATCATAATGAGAGTCAAGAAAATACGGTGCACCTCAGCAGGGCCAATATAAATGAGCCTCCTGCTTGGACGCCAAGACAGCACAACAGCCTTGCATTCTCCCAATTATGTTCATCTGATAAAGACATTGGAATGGTAAGATATTATGATCTACAGCCCTCCACTGGAACACTCACACATTCTTGGCCTTGAACGCTTGAGCAAAATGCTGCACGCTGCGGAGCAGAGCGAGGTCCAGGGTCATTGCTTCCACCTTGGCTTTATGCTGGAATGAGAGAAAATAAAAGAGAGATGATAAATAACAGCAAGTTTAGTTCATGGTATCAAGTTACAGTAAATGTGTTATGGAACATGTCGGAATTCCCCTGTTTAATATTAGACGCCCAGAGAGAATATAAATCATCGGAATGAATGGAAGAACAGGGCTCTGACTGCCAAGTTTAGGGAGGATGTCAGGCTGGGACTCTGCTCAAACTCCAGGCTGGGGGCTGTGCCGCTTCACGCAGCGCACGGGAGAGGCGCCTGAGGGTCTTCAGGCTCCCGTATCTCCTCTCAGTCTGCGTCCTGAAAAACACTGGTGCGATAGGGGAACACCAGGACGCAGCCTGGCGGGGGCAAGGATTCAGCAGACAGCATTTTAATCTCAAAAGCTGCCATCCAGGTTTTGAAATGATTCCACCAAGACTGTATCAAAAAGTTAAAGGGCCCTAACTGATTTGGCTGAGTGGTTAAAGTGTTGGCCCACGGATGGAAGGGTCTCAGGTTTGATTCCGGCCAAGGACATGTACCTCGGTTGTAGGCTCAGGCCCTGGTTGGGGCTCGTGCGGGAGGCAACCAATGTGTCTCTCTCACACTGATGTTTCTCTCCCTCCCTCTCTCTCTCTCTCTCTCTCTCCCTTCCACTCTCTCTGAAAAGCAATGGAGAAAGTACAAAAGCAGGCAAAAGTCATTTATACTGATGGATCATGACTGACCTAGATCCCCTTGGTTTAGTAACCCAGAAAACTCTACAGTCAGGCGAGGCACATGCGGATAATCACAGTGATGTTAATATTGGCTATTGTCTATTCAGAGCCCACCCTGGGCTGGGCATTTACTTGCACCATCTCATTTCACCCTCACAACTGAGCAATGGGCTACATTTTCCCAATTTTCAATGTGGCATCTTGTAAGAGATCACAGAGGTAAGACGTGGGGTTAGCAAGTATTGACCTCGAGTCAATCTGATACACTCTGGGCGGCCTCCAGGCACAGTTCTGGAAAGGTCCGGGTTGCCTCTCAGACGTGCCTTGTGTTGACGGGGCACTCCCCATTTTCAAGTCTGCCTGGACCCCAGGGTGTGAGATTCAGTGCTATCACTTCTTAGACTTATCTCCTCCAAAAACAGGATGCCAGGCCACCTGTCTGTTCAGGTAAGAAGAGCCCCATAGGACAAGTGTTTAACTTGGGAATTCTTATCTAGATGGTGATGCTAAAGTAAGACCAAGAAGAAGAGCAGGATTCCTCTAAGGCTATGGAGGGGATGCAAACAGCACTGCGGAGAGCATCGTCCACCCGAATTGTCTCTTTCGGGGACAGATGCAAACTGTGCCGAGATGCTCAGTGGATCTGGGGCCGTTTATCTTGGACGCCTAGGTCCTGGGCTCTAACCCAGCTCCCAAGCTTTGAGTAATAAACACCCGGCAGAGGCGGCTGGGACACAGGCTGACTTGGGGCTGCGTAACATTTCCGAGACTCAGTTTCCTCATTTGTAAACGGCGAGTATTAATGATGTACTCACAGAATTGTGAGGATCAGTGTAAGGCCCCTAACATCCTGTTGGGAAGAGACAAGGTATTTGGTAAATTTAACTAGAAAGAGATGACATGTCTACTGTGCCAAATCCTTTCCCTGGTGCCAGCCCGCAGTCGACGGTGGTTTGGGTGGACTCCCGTGCAGCGTGGTGGGTGACATGGTGCTAATGATAGGCAGGGTCCCCCTGAGGACCGCAGCAGACTAGGTCTGTTACGTCCTGGAGGATCCAGGCTGTGTCTAGTCACAGCCCAGTTTGGGGGACAGCGGACATAGAGTGATCATATGACCTCCCCACACCCAACAGCTCACCAGTGGCAAAGGTGTTGGCCAACGTAGATTTACGTTCGTCAGAGAACATTGACAGACACACAAACGGGCAGGTTTCGGAAGGAGGGGAAGAAATGGGGAGAGTGGAAACGCAGTTCTTCTTAGGGTTTCCTAAGACCTGGGGTGTTTGGGCAGGAGGGTGCCCCGCTTTGCAAGGCCACGCCCTTCTCCCTAAAGAGCAGGAAACTGGCACCAGGAGAAGTGAAGGGCCCTGAGTGGGGCTGCACCCTGTGCAGACAGCTCGGGCTCCAGATGAGAGCAAAACCCCTCAGAAAACCTAAGCTTTCTGTCTGAATAACCAATATCTGAAGGTTAAGATCGGAGTGTAAAGTCTGTCAAAGGCTAACTCATTCCCCTGGGAGATTCTCGTGCCTCATAAATGCTCATCCACCTGACCTGACATTCAGAGTTAGCAATAAAGTGGCCTTTCCCTCATCCTGCCTCCCCTGGCCCCAGCCTCACGCCCTCCGAGCATGGCTCCCACGGCCACGCACAGGATCTGACAGAACGCTGACTGCACCCCACGAGGAGAGTCAGGTGTTCATCCTGTTGGGGAAGGAGTGGTCGAAATTGTTCCTCTCGGCCAAGCCCCCACAAAATCCCCACGGGATAGTATAAAAGTGCACGTACATAAATCCGCCATAAAACAGGGAGAGCATTCCCAGATGGTGACCCCAAAGCAATTTCCCAATGATAACGATGGCACGGCCGAGCAGGCCCTCACACGCTTCTCTGTGTGTACCTGACAGTCGGTAGGCTGTCTGTTGGTCCCCCACTTTCACTTTAAAATAAAGCACGGAGCTGCCACTACCAATAAGAACAAAATCAGAACATACGCCTCCAGGGGGAACAAGGGGTCGCAAGCCATCAAGTAGTTCAACAGACTAATCCACGGGCGGTGGGTTACTGGGCTCCTGGGGACAGTGATTCAAGTCCGCACACTATTACTCAGGTAATTCTCCTGCCCTCGGTATCAGGTTTCTGTTTCTACAACCGGCCCTGAGAAGTGTAGTGAAACTGCGATACAGTAAATCCAGTGAAAGAAAAACACAGCTTCTAGAATCGGGGGGGGAGGGTATGTATGTGTTTATTGGGGGGATTTGCTCTTCTGATTATCTGAGAAATTTAGCAACTTTATAAATGAGAATTGTTCTAAATGAAAATGCAGTGGCTGGTGGGCCCCAGTTTTGAGGGATATAAACTGCTGACTGCAAGGTGAAGGCAAGAGACTCGATCGGCCAATGTGAGCTTTTCTGTCAGGTCTGGCCTTGGATCTGGGACTGACCACAATTCACTTTCTTGGTTTAACTCATGAACTTTTTGTTGCTGCTGCTAACTTTGGTTTGGAAGTAATCATAGACTCTCAAGAAGTGGTACTTAGAGAGCCCGTATACCCACCTCCCAGCACCCCCCAATGGAGGCATCGCACCCAGGTATACACAGCACGTCATCAAAACCACTACACTGACACTGGCCCAGCGCGATGTAGCAGGCATCAGACGTTACTAAGATGTCACCAGCTTTTTGGATGCACTTGTTTTCTTTATTTGTAATATCTTTGTGTATAATTCTGTGATATTTTTTCACACGTATAAATACATATAACCCTCACTGCATTCGAGATACAGAAATGTTCCACCGCCTCAAAGGAACCAGTGAGTTTTTATTAAGAGGTGTTAGAATTAGGACCTGCCATCTGGCCTTGTTTGGCCAGAGCCCACTCTCTGGACTGGCCCGACAAACACATATACAAAGCCCCAGCTTAAAGTCCTTCTGTAGCTTGGAACGGCCCACAAGATATGGTCCAGATTCCTTACTGTGGCTCACACAGAGTCTCTGTGTCACTTGGGGCAAGAACAGGCCCCGACACTGAACCTCTGTGTCTTAAAACACCCGAGGACTGTTACCGGCTCATGTTCCATGTCCACCCCAGGGTGCTGGGGCCATGTTCACCATGGGTAGCCAGCGGCACAGGCAGACGGAACCCCCATCTTCTGTAACAGCATCAACTCCACAGCGTGGGGAAGGAATGTGGGACGTTGCACAGGGGTCCCAAAGGCCTCCCCCAGCAGGGACAAGGCTGCTTCTGCTCACCTGTCACTGGCAAGGCACGTCCTGCGAATGTGCCTGGTTCTGAGAACGTGCAACCCTCCAGGTGCCCAGAAAGGAGAGAAATGGGAATATGTAACGGAGAAGGGTAACGACCATCAGTGTCCATGACTCGCCCCGCCTGCCTCTCCAGGCTCGATTCAGGTCACTTCCTACTTCACATGTTCCTTAGTCATAGAAAATTTTTAAAAAACCAATGAATATGAACAAAAAACAATGCATATACAATCCCACCCATCCCCAAATAAACTGTAACCCTTCCATGTGTCTCTCTCTCCTTCCTTTCCTACCTGTCTGTGTCTCTATCTATCTATCTATCTATCTATCTATCTATCTATCTATCTATCTATCTAGCCATCCAACCACCCACTTAGCTTTAACAGAAAGAACTTCGTACTAAGAAGTTTGAATCTTAAAATGCTATGAAATGCCTCTCTCAACCCTTCCTTCAACCCTCACTCTTTTTTTCTAGTCACACCAGCACACAAGCTTATCATCTCAGGCAGAACCGGAATATAAATCTAGTTTAAATTATGCATACAGATGCTAGTACCCATCATTTTAAAACAGAGCTGCACAGGTGGCACCTCACACACGAAACATCAGGCAACTTCTAAGTAGCTGGGAGGCCCGCCTGTTCCGACACCTCGGGCTCCGCCAGAACGGCGGAGGAACGAAGCTGCCCACGTGCTCTTCTTCCATTTCCTTGGGACCCAGGGATGCTGGCTCCCTGACACCCTCAGCAGACCGAGTCTGCTTGGTTTGTTCTTTGTCGAGCTCCAGAACCCGACTCAGTGACGGCAGAGTCTGTGAGCGCGGAGTCCTTGGTGGCTGGCTCTCTCACACCACGTTATGACTATGAATTAGCCAAGTGTGACTCAGATGTGACACCGCCTGAAACCAAAGGAACCATATGGGGAGCGTGTGGTATTTAAACGAAGAAATAGAAGGATGTTGCCATCCCCACAGCAGGGACGGCACGACCTCAGCACTGGCAGAGTGACCTCAGGGACGCTACCTCAATGCTCGGGGCCT